TACTGCTCCTCATCCATCGTTTTGAATAGTTGCTTTGTATACCAAAGAAAGTTTAGAGAATGGCATGGAAAGCAGTCAAGTATGTGGACGAGGATTTCAACAGCTCTTACATGATGGTTCCCATTAAGGTAGGATGTATTAGGTTGTTGCATAAGTTCTGCCCGATTTTTTTCCTCATGTTTGGAGCAGCTGTTCTAAGAGAATTTCATCTCTAATGCGGTATTATTAGCATCATTAGAAAGTGCTTTTCTTGCGCTTTCCAAAGCATATCAAATTTCAATAAATTTCTAAGTGTAAGGAGATTTCAGGCCTAAAATCTCCAAGCGGCCAAGGTAAGTTCTCACCCTAAAAATATGTTCTTGCGAGAAAATCCACAATGCGCCTTTCAAGTGAAGTTCTTTCATTGGCTGCGGAATAAGGGTGTGGAAGCTAGTATATGCAGAAGTCCGGTCCCATGAAGAAAACGTCTTTCTAGTCAAATTTATCGTCGAACATTAATTTTTTGTATAGATGTTTTACAAGCAATAACTTTATGCAAATAGAAGTAATCGATAAGCTCAAAGTTGGAGGTGCTAGGGCAAAGCAAGAGCTAGCAGGGCCCATGCACCAGTTCCTGTTCGGCGCTTGCGTCAGTTGTAAAATTTTCAGATTCCTAAATGGGCATGCACACATGTGCTGAAACGAGGTCAAAAAGTGGCTTCTTTTTTGCTCGATCAAAAAAATCTTTCGGCAGCGCAGACCCTATGGACTCTTTTATGTTGCGTAATAATCTACGCAAATTTCTCTATCTATCCATTGTTAGAAAAGATGTTTATCAATTTTCATAAGGGAGCGTTGCCATGTCAAAAAAGACAGGTTTAAAGGAAAACGCCGTGAAGTCTTCGCATTCTTTTCTTCCTTAACAAAGAGTTGCGCAGGTTCTAATATGTATCTGATAGCCAAAGAATTGCTCAACACACCGAAACTAAGATCTTGGAAAAAAATTGACTTTGAAAGAAGTTATGACATTTTGAACTCAAAAAATTCAAATCGGACAGAACTTATGCAGCAACCTAATATTTTCTTTAATCGTCTGGACCCTTCTGGAAATTGTAGGATTTATATCACAACATTCTTTCCATTAGTTGTCAATGCTTTTCCTTACAGGTGACTGAAGCATGGAGTCAAGTTGTAGGAGGAATCAATTATTATTTGGTTGTACTGTACGGTGAATCCGCTTGCGAAAAAAATGTAAGCTCATTACTTTTTGGAGTTTTTGTTAGACTTTTTTCGGAGCTAGCTATATTTGTTGTCGGGATTCTATGTTCCATTAAAACTAACATTAATATTGCACCACTCTACAATCAATGAAGGTCAGAAGGTTATTCACTAAAAAAGCTTTTCACGGGATGTTCAAGACAAGCTTGAGCAAATTTGGACATATGGATTTCTTACCTAAAAACTGACATGAGGATAAAGCGAGAAAAGTTTGGACCACAGCTTAAGGTGGTTACTCAAATTCACGCAATCTGTATGACTTCTACAAATATGTCTGTGCATAGAAAGGTTTGCATTTGTTTGCCATTTGGCGGCTTGTAAAGATATTTTCTTTCCAAGAAATATACAAAGAATACTGGAAAGAAATTGAACAAATAATGACACCTACAATATCACATAATTAAACGTCTATGCATCTCTCGAATCATTACAGGAAGTTGCTGCGTCAGAAGCACCTCCAGCTAACTGCCAGTATAGAGCTAATGGGAATCGAGCTGTATGTGTTTGACTTCCCATTATTACTCATTCAGTAGAATAGTCATTTTCAGCTTTACAATGTCAAAGTGCACACTAGACCTTGGCAGCATTATGAACACTTCACTGTTGAAAAAATCCGAGATGTTGATGCTGAAGAAGAAATTTGAGACTTTTCTAAGACAAGAGCGTTGTGACTGGAGGACAATTTAGCCTAATCAACCGTTTTTGAAAAACATCAATAAAGAGCATTCTCGCAGTCAATTTTTTCATTTACACAAATATACTTGCAAAACAAGTTAAGTGATCGATGCGTGAGGATAAGAGGAAGATTCCAATATTATATCTGTATTCTTAAAGAATACCGCCCAGTTAGACTGAAACTTCTATTTTATTTGTAGTTAGAATTGCAATCGAAGTAGAATGTGTTCATTACTGCGTGATTTGCTGTTGCCGATGGAACTTGTGAGCCGCCAAGTAACATTCGGTGGACTGGACTTCTCCATAAATTGACACAAGTCTCAATAAACCCCTCCGTAATTGTTAACGCATCTTCACTCATTACTAACATCGTTTGCATCATCATCATTAACTCGAGTACAAAAAAAACAGAGCTGTTTGAAGCTAATTTCAAGGTGTTCGGGATTACCACGTTGACGACCGAGCCGTTTTGGACAAAGCTACCACTAGCGTTTTTTTTTCGCGCATGTGAACGTGCATACGAACGTATGCATGAAATCACTGTGTGGAGTCTTACGCTCATGCGAAGTTCTTTTCTAATGCGTATCTGACAGAATAACGTCGCGAGTCACACATATTAAGTTTGCATCACTTTCCCCTCCAACGAGCCCTGCAATATCTGCGTTTGGAAATCTCTTTTTAAAACTCGCTAGAGTTTTAGATGTTTCTTGCCTAGTTCATCCTTGATTCCCTTCAGAACAGCTATACAGTTTCGCCTTTTCAGAAAGACATAGTTAGATAAAACATAATTATCTTAACCACATCAAAAATGGACCAAATCATTGCCGCTAATCCAATATTACTTCACCCGATTATGCGTATATGAGGAAGTAAGCTAACACTCGGCTGTTGCACACTATCTCATTGCTACTTTGGATACTTACGATGATAGGCCTGCGTAGAGATTTTACTTGTAGTGAAAAATAGGTGTCCATGGTGTCACAGAAGAAGCGCGCAAACTCGAAAAGTTGAGGTTTCAAGGAATTTTCTCGAACCTAAATGTGAGAAATTGATTTCTACGTAACACAGCTTTAGATTCTTCTTAGAGGATGTATTAAGCCTTTCCAAGTGTAGACGGATATCTTTCTTTATAAATCAATAGTCCAGTTTTCCTTGCCTTTTAAACTGGTATAACTGTTTAGCCGTCTGCAAAGCGCTGATTTAGGGCTCTTTCTGACCATAAAACTTGACTTTCGTGAACCTGTTTTTCAACGCTATATTTCATAGAAAGGTGTTTTAGTAAGGGAGAGTAACTCCATCAGGACCTCTGAGAAAGTGTTTTGAAGGGTTATTCCAGTTCGAATTGTATTCGAAAACGGAAAACCCCACGTATCAAATTTATCGAATTTCATTTAACACCATTCTTCGAATATTGGAGTTCCCAAATTTTATTCGAAGATGGAAAACTCCAAGTATTAATTCTAATGCGAAATCGAATGTTTTATTAGGTTGGCTAATAAAAAAGTTCGGTCGCTTTTTCAGCTCTTACAAATGCTGTAGACAAATTTTTGTCCAACTTTTGTTATCTCTGAAAAGAGCACTTCACTGGGTATTGGACCGTATATTCTGTTTGAGTAAAACTTGAATTCCAAGGGAAAAAATCCGCAAAGAAGTGAGAAAGCGCAATTTTCTCGTAATGCGCAAAAATCTGGAAATTTGGTTTTCTTAGTGAAACATTTTCAAAGTGGCAGATCACAGTTCTTTTTGTTGTTTACTAAATAGGGATAACTCCTCTGTATCCAAACACCAGACTGCAGTTCTTTACATCCATTACAGCTTGAAAACGAAGCTTAGGAAGTCAAAGAACTGAGCCTTTGGAAATTTCGCCATGTTGAGGCATAACTGTCTTTGCCGACGATAGAAAATCCTGATTATTTGATATGTGATAGAGGAAATTTTAAACTACTTTCCCACAAAGAACCATAGACTGAAAACAACAAGAAAATTTTTTATGATGATTTATATGCCAAAACGAACTTATTTTTTAGCCAACCTAATATTTGCGTATCGAATTTATGTTAAATTCGGACCAAAGTATAATTTGTACCACAGAACTTCTTCTGCTTTCTTGACGCTCCTCTTTAATGCAGCTTCGCTGCCACATAATTTTTGTCAGCATCTTCTTTTTCTGATTTCTGCCGTATCCGGTAAGCTCCTTGTTTTTCATGATGTGTGAGGACACAAATTGTTGGATTGCAAAATGTTTGACAGGGTCTATCTGGGCCAGCCCTGGACAGCTTCTCTATCCAGGGCTGGCCCAGATGGCTTATAGCAAGCCGCTTATCGTTTTGGGGAAAAAGCAAAGGGATATCGTTTTTGTCGCAGAAAAAACGCAGTTTAGCTACGTTTTTTAGTCGACGTTTCGTTTTTTGAGGGTTTTTTTACGTTTAGGGTTTAGGGTCAAAGGAGACTTGTGGAAGTCAAGGGGGACTTTGTTTTTTGCATTTTCGTAAAGCCACATTCTGCTGTGTTCTGTCTCCGTCTCTGCCACTGAATTTGTCTTGCGCGTATATACGAGAGATCATATCGTTACCTATGCATTGCCCTTTTCCTTTTCTCGGCATTGGGAAATTTTCATATCAAAACTTATCACGTTCTTAAGTCACTCGATATTACACTGAGGTTGTTTGCTGCTCCATTCTTGTTCATATACGTCCTATACTAAATTCTATACTACTACTAATTCTATATTAATACTAAATATTTCTAATATACTATAATATCCTAACATATGTGTAAACGATTCACGTATCACATTTGTACTTTTTGCAAATGATATTTTTTTGAAGATCCGTCTTGGAGATCACGTATAATAATGCGTGTGAAAGCACAGAAGAAGGTTTGACGGTATGTAGGGGATTTGAAAGTGTGTACATTAACTCTTGATTCATCACTCATCCCTTCCTCCCCCCTCCCACCGAGAAACGATTTTTAGCATGATTTCGATCCAAGGCCTCTAAAAAAAAGCAAATGTGTTGTAATATTTCTGTTCTTCGTTTATCCAGTTTTCTTGAGCAACGACATGGTAAGGAGCCAGGAATTTATTGCACTTGCGTTCATATAGTTAAAACACAAATTGAAATTTCTTTAAATTAGTTCACCAGGAGCTACATCCCTGATTTTCGTAACAGTAAATTGCTCATAATTCTCCCAGGGTCTTGAGTATGATTGAACGTTGTAGAGCTGTAATAAAATTGCATTACCACACGAGCCTATCAATTAGTAAAGTATACTGACGACTCGGTTTCCATTTGGCGTTAACTGACAGTTAGCTGCAGATACCGCTGATGCTGCAATCGCCTGCAATAGCAAATGACGGAAATGTTCGACATAAAATTCGATTCTACAAGTCCTTGGTAAACTCTGCGCAGTCACAAGATATCTACTTCGTGTGTTTGAATAGCACATCTCCATAGCTAGAAAGGGACTGTGTCGGCAATCAGTGTCAGATTTGAGACGAGCATATGATTGACTTCTATAGAACAAGGAGTAATAAGGGCCCCAAAACGTGTTATTTCGGTTTCCTGTTGAAAACTTCCACAAATGCGATTAAAATGCTGCCCAATTTCTAATCATTTCAAGAACCGGTGTTGCTTCCATCTCTCAGATTCGGTTGCGTTTTTGACTGCTCTCAGAATCTCATGTTGGAAGTTTGTAAAAAATACTAAAAAACTCGTTTTTTTAAATGTTGCCGAGCAGAACTCATATATGTCATTTTATTTTCGCAGATATAGTCCAAAACTTACTCCTCTTCTGCATGTAGAATCCCCATAAAGTATATTCATGTTGTAGTTGACTCCTGCTACAACCTGAGTTTGAGCCTGGACCACCTTGATATATCTTGCATAAACTTTTCACGAAAACAAGCATAGAGTTGTAAATCCTAAAGGCTCTAATTCGAGCATTCGCATACTATACCTTTATGGGAACAACCATATACGGGCTGTTACTGGCCCTCGTTGACATCCTTTGTTGCTTTCCATGCTTTTTCCTGTATAATTTCATCATTAAGGCAAGACGGCAAATAAATGGAGCCTGCGGACATTTTGCAAGTATCTAGATTTGCAAACTAAACTATTTGTGACTTTGAAAGATTACTTCATAGTTTTTGTCGTCGTGGTGTTCAGGGCCCGGCACGAGGTCGGCAAATGACAAGCTGGAAATCGTTTTGGGGCCAAAAAGCAAAGGGGAAATCGTTTTTGCGGGGTCCGGGCGGAGCCCCGGAAAAAAATTGGTAGTTCATGCTCGCTACTTATCTTGACATGTTATGTGCCTCAACAGGCGAACACTGGAGTTCGCGCGCGTCAAACCGCGCCGTCGCTAATTGCCGCACGCGCGACGTCGGCCAAGCGATGCCATTTGTAACTGCATACATGACTAGTTCTCAATGTATGTGTAACGATATGGCACCAAATTTTGTATGCGAACGGAGAGAGGCTAGTGGAAACATAGTATGAAATATTATGAAAAACTTATGTGAACGGAACGAGTAATTAGTATTTTTTCCGAGATTTTCGCAAAACTGGTAAATGAAGATGTGAATTCAAACGGCTCGTTTGGAACGCGCAGATGAACGATATGGTATGAAACTTGGTAAGTACATGCATACGGGCTTGCAGGGCTTAACTGAGGAGTTTCATTGAAAAATTATGTGATGAAGGTTGTGGTAAACTTTTTTCTGAAAATTTTGCGCTACCAAAGAAATGGAAAAATGGCTCGTTTGCAACGCAGAGGTAACGAAATCGCGCGGGTTTCGGTGTGTATATGCGTAATAGGACTAAGTAATAAAGTATGAAATATTATGAAAAAATTATGTGAATGAAGAGCGTGCTTAACTAATTTCCAAATTAGGTCGGCATTTGCCGACCTAATTCCCACCTGAGGTCGGCAAAACTCTCGATTCACATAATTTTTTCAAAATTTTTACATAAATCTGTTGTACACCTAAAGTTTACTACATGGTGAAATTTTGGTTCCGAAACTCCTCCTCTTGTCCTTGTTAGAGCCCAAAATCGCATCAGCAGCCTAGCTTTCTAAGATAGAAAGCGCGCCCCAGTCAATCGATACGCGCGGGAACGGCGTCTCTCATTCCTATGACTGCGTTTCTTTGTTGTTTTCTCATTCCTTAGTCATTTTTCTTGCTTATTTTTCTTCGTGTTTTCTATTTTGATACAGCTGAGGAGTAATTTGAGGAATTTGAGCATTTTGAGCACTTTTGAGCGCTTTTAGGCGAAGTGTGGCCGGTAATCTCGTCGCACAAGCACGTAACGTCATTTTTGGGCTTAAGGGGGTATTCGTAAAATTTATTGGGATCAAAGCGGAATTCGTTTTGGAAAACCCCGTTTGCCCACCTCGTGCCGGGCCCTGGTGGTGTTCTGACTTCATGTGCTGGTCCACTCCGTAATAAGTGTAAAGCGTGTCTATATTATCATGGCATCATGTTGCTAACAAAAGTGCTTTAACCCATTGGCGACGATGTGGACCACCGGTGGCCTACGCGCTTTTTGCTGCCAGGGACGATGTGGACCCCCGGTGGCCCACACCTCTTGCAAAGTTGTACTATTTGCAGGTCTAGTATTTTTTTCCATATGTCAATATTTTTTAAGATTTTTTGTATTCTTGTGACCTGTAGGCTCCGTCGTTCAAGAAGATGTTGATAGTTGTTTACAAAGCAACGTTGCATTTTGTAAATAAGCACAAAACCTTCACACACTGAAAGTATTGTGCAAAACCGCGTCGTCCCACAGCGCCTCCACGCAAAATTAGGCGTCGTCGTCAATGGGTTAAGGGAGAATGACGGAGAACCTTAGGGGCGGAAGGGGGGAGGGAAGGAGTGAGGGTATTTAGTAAGAGAAGTGAATCTTGCCGGGGGCGGTACTTATCAATCTCCTCTTTGGGAAAGATTCCCTGTACAGGCCACAGCCCGTATAGACGCGGGCACTGACGCCCGCGATACGCGAAGCCAAGCTGGTGATCGGGTTTCTGTCTGTTTGAAGATATGGTCCGATCTGGCAAGTTCGGCCATGTCGGACACGGCAGCTATCCAATCGCTCCCAATCTCGACAGGTCGGTCTCTGCTGCGCGTTTGAACATGCCCCAAACTTTCATAAATTATGGGGTAGCGCTCTTGCCTGTACAGGCACTTGTTGATAATGACCCGAACCGCCAGTGGGATATTGATAACCGCCCCAGGTGTGGTCATCGCCACGCCCATTTATTCAAAAAAGCTTTTGTTTCCCCTGGTTTTCAAAAATTCTGGAACTGCCAACTTGTTGACGTTCATGTTCTCTTGAGATCTTGCGGCAAGTCTTTTGGGTATGTAAGTTCTGTGCCCCCAATTATCAAAACCACAAAGCAAAGTGAAGCATACCATGTATGAAGGATCGTTTGGATTTTGCGGCGTAAGTCCTCCTACCAGAGCTTGAGGGATGACATTTGGGGTAATGAAAGACAGCAAAGAGACTAAAAAGGTAGTCTTGAAAGCCATAAATTCTGAAAAGCGCATGTATCGTAACTGTATTTCTGGATGTTTTCTAATCAGGGTAGTAAAGCATAGAAAATAATAAATGAGTAGTCAAGTGACGCTGCCTGTTGCTCGTCACCAAAAATGCCCTTAACTAGAACTTCAATGAGTGCCAAGAACGTGATTTGATTACATGTGGAAGAAGCTCAGTTGCCAGCGATAGCAGAAGCTAAGCTTCGTTTGGTTTTGAGATTCAAAAGGTGGCTTGTTAAAACCGGCAAATTTGCCTATGATGTTTGCGCTTGGATGCTTAAATACCTCAACTGCAAAGTCAACAGTTACGGCTGCTGCAAATTCTTACTTTTCTATTTAGTGCCTCAAAAGCGCATTTTTTCAAAATGGTCCCATTGAGTCTACGTGACTTAGACAAATGAAATGCAAGAAAAGTGTTCACTTGACAAAAACCTGTCTCTGTTATTCGTGGCATGTAAACCTTAGAGCGCATACAAAGTACGAACTGTGATGAATCAGCTTCGGTTAATGCGAGTCACGCAATTATAATCCAAAAATTCATTTTTTGTTTTTGATGATGAAGGTGGTTGCGCGATCGACTGCTATGCTTGAATTTAAGAAGTGGGTAGATATTTGAAGGAACTATAAGTCTCAGCTGTACTGATCGACGGCACCAACTTCATATACAGTGCTGGCCAAAACTATAATTCCACCCTGAGGACTGCCGTATCATCTGCTTCTCAAAGAATTGATCTGAAATTTGGTATAGTTGTGTGTTTAACAGGCTACCATCAGTAACCAAAACGGATCCCATTTTTGTTTGATTATTCAGGAAAAAATCAAAAATTTCGAAAAAAGCAGGCTTGAAGGTTGGCCAAAACTATAATTCCACCCAAGGCTTCTGTCCACTAAAGTAATTCTCAGCTTCCAATGTATTTTGTTCATATACATAATCAAAAGCCAAAACAGTCGCTTCTGTTCAGCTGTGTTATACTTTTATAAGAAACGTTTATCTGCTTTTTTTGGCTTGAAAATACTTTCATGCGTATTTCGTTCCCAAGAATGTGTTTTATGAGTAACTTCACAGTTTTTTGACTGATTTGGAGGCGATAGGGCTGCATCTATTTTATAGATGCTTAGCGAAGTGAAAACTAGAAACAAATCGGGGTTTTCATATTTAGAGCGCACCCGAAATAGAGCTAATCGCAGCCTGCGCTCAGATTTATGCCCTCAAACTCCTTCTGCAATGTTCTTATGAGCGTGAAGTAGAGTAATAACATTGTTTGTACGTATGATAGTCCGAATGCAGTGGTTGCAGATTTGCGCAGGTCTTAGCATCAAGGCTAACTGAGGAATTCATCCTGCAAAAACTGATTTGCAAAAAAGCATGAACTTATTCTTGGTTCTGATCGTAATGCTGTGAGTCACAAGGCACCATACAATGCAGGGTGTTTTCACTGTCTAGAAGCTAAATAGTGGCGAAAATTTAGGAAAGGTACCACTTGGTAAGTATTAGGTTGTCAGGAAATTAATGTCCGTTTTGAATTTCAAACGCAACAAGCCATACATTTTTCATTCCTGAATAGCTTTCGAAATACCATTTGATGAACAAAGCAAGCTCTACAAGATGGCTTTCTTGATTTAGCAAGAGCTCTGATTCACCTCGAGTTTCGAGCCAAAAACTAAAAAGATTCAACTCCCCGAAAAATTGAGAAAAATCACAACTCAGTTCATAAAAATCCTGCAAGAATTCTAATTTTCTCACGTAAACGCTATCCACATAAGACATTGTACGCCTCTGCCATATTTTTTCCTCTGTTAGAAATCGGAAAAACGAAAATGTTCATGCTTTTGCAATAGTGATGCTGTGTCGTCCCCACATTTATAGATGTATACTACAAATCTGTAGAAGTACAAACGTGGATTTGCAGCTTTTTACAAGCTTTAGTTCTCGAGAAATTTGAATTTTAGTTTGGACCACTTGACTAATGAAGGCTATATTCGATATTTCTCGAGAACTAAAGCTTGTAGAGAGCTGAAATTTTACGTTTGTACTTCTACAGATTATTAGTACACATCTAGTTATGTGGGGACGACACAGCATCACTTTGGCAAAAGCATGAACATTTTCGTTTTTTCGATTTCTAACACAGAATAAATATGGCAACGGCGTACATGTATGTCTTATGTGGATAGCGTTTACGTGAGAAAATTAGAATTCTTGCAGGATTTTTATGAACTGAGTTGTGATTTTTCTCGATTTTTCGGGTAGTTGAATCTTTTTAGTTTTTGGCTCGAAACTCAAGGTGAATCAGAGCTCTTGCTAAAGCAAGAAAGCGACCTTGTAGAGCTTGCTTTGTTCTATCTAATGGTACCTTGAAAGCTATTCAGGAATGCAAAGTTTATGACTTATTGCGGTTGAAATTCAAAACGGACATTAATTTCCGGACAACCTAATATTAGGTTGATTCATAATTAATGCACGTTTTCTATACTTCAATTTCCAACCGAGATAATTCTTTTTTGAAAGGACATTTCTGGGCGCAATAAAAACTACTATAACCACCAAATCAATGGCTATAAAACAGATAGTGTTGCGTGACTGCATCTATAACCAGAAAGATTTTCTGGCCTGAAGGTTGCTAACAACTTTTTTAGAAGCCTCTACTTTGAGGGAGCACAACTTATGTTGAAATGAAGTAGGATAAAGCAGACTTCGCTCATCGTGTAGCCAAGGGTCTCTTGAGCAGTAATGCCAAGTTTGAATTTTATGGAATAATTTTGAAAGAAAATACCGCGAAAAAGTCGATAGTCTCACTTTTTTTCTGACATCTCGGTGGGTTCAATAATCGGTCATTCTTGAAAGTATTTCATTTTCTCCGCTGGAACGTGAGAAAATCCTGGTGCTTTTCTACCATCAAATGAACTAGGTCTACCCTTGCCGGATAATGCAAAAGACCTGCAATCGCCTTTTGATTCAAAGATTTATATGGCACGGAAGGACCGCGACGATCATTCAAGTTCGCAATTGAATTTCTCGGCTCAGATTCCATGGAATATTTTGTTCAAAAAGCCTTCTTGTAGCACAAGTTTCATAATCCTTATGCATATTTTTTGGAATTAATCCAGCTATTCTTCATGAGTTTAGGGCAAAAAGAGTGAAAAGCAAAAATTTTGGGATTTAGTCCCTTTTATCTGAAGACTTATAACTTTGGAACGAAAGGAGATGTACGAAAGCGAAGGCACGCATAAGAAACTAGAAAAAACGCTCTTTTAGACGGCTCGAAAGGTTTTTGAGGAAATTGGTTACACATCAAATACCAGCTCTTGGAAGAAGAGGAAGGAAAAACGTGCATTAATTATGAATCAACCTAATATTTTGGGATTGCCTAAATATTATCATTGAACCGCGAAGATTTATGCTTTGAAAACGAAGCAAAATGTGACTTGGCCAACAATCGCAAGTATAGTGTACAAACTTCTTTTTATGTAAACGATGCTTTACATTATTTTGAGCTTACAAAAACAACATAAACCAATTTTGGAGGCAAAAATTTGAGCGCAGGCTTGCTGTAAGGTCTATGTCGGGTGCGCTTTAAATATGAAAACTCCAGTTTTTTTCTAGTTCTCACTTCGCTAAGCATCTATAAGATAGGTGGAGCCCTATCGCTTCCAAATTAATCAAAAAACTGCGAGACTACCCATAAAAACACATTCTTGGGAACGAGATACGCAAGAAAGTATTTTTAAGCCAAAAAAAGCAGATAAACGTTTCTTATAAGAGTATAACACAGCCGAACTGAAGCGACTGTTTTGAATTTTGATTATTTATGTATTTGCACAAAATACTTTGGAAGTTGAGAATTACTTTAGTGGACAGAAACCTTGGGTGGATTTATAGTTTTGGCCAATCGTCAAGCCTACTTTTTTCGAAATTTTTGATTTTTTCCTGAATAATCAAACCAAAACGGGATCCGTTCTGGTTACTGATGGTAGCCTGTTAAACACACAACTGTACCAAATTTCAGATCAATTCGTTGAGAAGCAGATGAGTTACGGCAGTTTTCAGGGTGGAATTATAGTTCTGGCCAGCACTGTATTAATTCTTTACTGTAATTGCATTGCCCCTGTTTATGTAATCAGGCATTGACAGTGACAGCTTCTTTTGGAATTTAGGTGAAATGAAGTGTAATGTCAAGTGCAAGTAGCTGATAATTTTGCAACTTCAATTAGAATACGCTGATCTTCGAATAATCCCCGCCTGATAAAATGTCGGGAAGAAATCATGAAATGCTTTAGGTAATTTTTGTTTAACATCAAAAAATCATGAAATGCTCGGGCTTTACATTAATCGGCGCCGGCCTTTAGGTTCATGTTTGTTTGTATTGTTTTCTCAGAAACTCCTACCGATGCGTTAAGAAGGGGCCAGCCCACACAACTAGGAATTGGACTTCATCCTCAAAGATCTCTCCCTTTAGGCAGATGAAGATCGATGCATTGCCGAGCGCTCCATACAAAAAACAAAACTCTTGACAGATCTTACCTCAAATTGAGAACCCTGAGTGAGACACTGAGAAGAACATACAAGTACTACTACTTTCCATACTGGTCATTTTACAACTAGTGGCACTGTTCTGACCTTCAGAGTTTAGTCGGAAGTCTTTGGTTCAACCGTTCCTATGACTGGACCTTTTATAAGGTCGCCTTTAGGGCCGGGCATACTTCACGCGAGTGGCAACGCGATTTGGCAATATTCCAACTGTCCATAACTCACTGGACATTTTAAATGTACAGAAGATAAGGCGTTTTATCAATGTACTTAAGTTATTCACACTATGCATTTGCAGTTTGCTGATGTTGGAAAACTTCTGGCGAATTGCCAATTCGCGTCGCGACTGAAATCGCGTGAAGTATGCCCAGCCCTTTTGAGGTAAAGATGTGGAAGTATAGTAAGTTTCAACCCAGTTTAGGCGAAAATTGGACTGGCGGAAGTCCGCTTCACGACGATTCGCGCCGTTT